ATGTGCAGCCCACAGCTGTCACCCTCCTTTCTGGTAGTCACTCAAAAGCAGCTTTTCTACATGACATAAGTAAGTACCCCCTGGGGGAGCTTCAGGCCGGCAAAGCATTGACCTGAGTCACTTTTACTGAAGGGACAATACTGGCTTTGAAGGTCAGTGAGCTAATTGTTTGAACCTTTCTGTGCTCATGGCAACATGGGTTTTGTTCCTCTGCGGGTGTGTTTGCATTCATGTCGTATCTTTCCTGTTTTCCAGAACAGACTGTTGTTGAGGTGTCGGAACACAACGAACGGCTGGTTACAAAGAGGCAATTGTTAGAGAAATGGTTTAATACATTGCAAATCCCTCCATCTCCATCCCTTCAAAAGGGAATAAAGACCAAAAACAGATCACAAACAAATTTACATTATAAAATTGCTGTCATCATTCTCTGCCGGATTAACCCAGGCTTAGGAGCCTCTGCTCAGCAATTGCACTCCGGGTTCTTTCCTTTGGCAGAGCAGACGGTGTGGCCCAAGTGACTTTGGGGATGAGATGGTGGTTTTTCACTTCCTATAGAAAATTAAAAAAATAGTGTTTGTCCATTGTGAAGAAGTACCTCCTGTGCTGGCAGGATGGCTTAGCAGGAAAGGCACCTGCCACCAAGGTGATGACTTGAGTTTGGACCCATATGGTAGAAGGAAAGAACCGACTCCGGAAAGTTGTTCTCTGCTTTCCACATGTGTGCTATGCGTGCATGCCCCTCCCTGTCACATACAAAGTAAGTAAAAATGTAAAAGTAAAAACATTTTCTAAAAGTGCCTCTCGAGGCTGGAGAGATGGCTTAAAGATTAAGAACACTGGCTGCTTGTCCAGAGAACCCAAGTTTGTTTCCCAGCCCCACACCAGGCAGTTCATAACTACCTGTAACTTTCAACTCCAGGAGGATCCAATCCCTCAGGTCTCTGAGGGCATCTGCACTTGTGTGCTTTGCCAACACACAGGTACACACAGTTAAAAACAGTATTTTTAAAAGTCCCTCCTCTTGGAATATCTTCATCTGGGCTGGGGACACTTCTACTTGATTCTCCAATGAATTGGGTAAATCTGCACGAGAGAGGTGTGAATGCAACTCTGAGATGAAATTAACAAAATGAAACATCTGAAGAGTTGCAGAGAGTTGAAGGGGGTGCTGGGAAGGGGGTGCCTTGGGCCACCTCTACTTTTCTGGGGTTGGAGCTGAACTTTCAGTAGCATTCAGAGTTGTTGGATGCCCCCACAGTCTGACTCTGTGGTGTGTGTGTGTGTGTGTGTGTGTGTGTGTGTGTGTGTGTGTGTGTGTGTGTGTTTCAGACCAAGTTTTCTTAACTTGGGAGAAACAAAGGCCTTGTATAGATGGAACCTTGAGGTCTGTGGGGACTGAACATTCCACAAGCCCCAGGTGTAGATGGGAGAACTCTCAGCAAACAGTTTGGCTTTGTGTGGCTAGTGCCTGCAGTGTTTCAGTTACAGGAAGCACAAAGCATGGAAACTTATGGAGAGACTGGTCTGTGTGTTTTTAAGAAAGGAGGGGAAGGGAGAGGATGTTGAACTTAAGACTCTTGGTTCTTAAATCAGGTCACCTTAAGTCTCCTGACCTGTGTGGCAAGCTGGATGCCCCGGGGAGAGTAGCAGGCCAGATCAGACATCCTGGAGTGGACATGACAGTTAGTGAATGAAGATGGTATAGGACCTGGCTGGGCAATGTGGTTCCTAGGGAGCCATTGGGCTCATACCAGTCAAGCTCCTGTAAGTTGGACTCCACCAGGCCCTTCTCAGGATAGGCCAAGTCAGTGTCTTTGAGCTGCTCAACTAGCAACCAGCAAGGCTGACTTCACTCATGTGGTCAGCAGAGGAAAGCGGCGCTGATTCAAAACTACCTCTTCCTGGGTGGGAGGGACCTAGGGTTGTCACCGGCTTCCGGCTTCCAGCCTTGTTTGATGGTGGGTTCCCCCGGCTTGGGTGTGGTCAGACAATGTGAAACAGGAGGACATGGGGCTAAAGACTCAATGGGCATTGCCCATCCCCCCATTGATAGACAGCTGACAGTGGCTTTCTCGTTCGTCCCACCCCTAGTGTCTTTGAGAGATTCTATGGGCAGGTGTTGGAAGAGAAAAGGGAGAGAGCATTGTGCGTTTGTGTGGCTCTAGAATCTGTTCCCTAGATCCGTGGCATTTCCTGGTAATTATCAGACAAAGGGGAGAAGCAAAGGGCATTTCAGTGTTCTATATAGTCACAGCTGGAGCTGCCCAAGGCCACTGTGGCCACGAGCCACGAATGAGCGTGGAGTGCTGGAAACATCTCTGGTAGGAAGAGGTGAGCTCCGTGAGCAAGACGGCGACTTGAAGGCTGCCATAATTACATATGGAGACATAAACATCACCAATAAAAATGATTTTACCCATCTCTGTTCATGTTTTACACAGCCTCTAGGAAAATGTAAGCTTCACATAGCACCCACTTCCCTGTGTGGGACACACTGACTCAGCATAGAGGGAAGATCCCAGGTCTGGGGACACTGCCTTAACACAACCACACCCACTTTCCTAAAAAACAAAACAAAAACACAAGCAAAACAAAACAACAAAACAAAAACAACCACAACAAGAAGAAACAATAAGCTCTGCAGAATGCTAGTTCAAATCCCAGGTGTAAATGAAATGCTTCCCCAATGACTCACAGTGATTCTCATCCACAGGAGCTTTACTCCCAGGGAAGAAACAACCAGAGCCCCCATGAGCTGCTTCAAAAGAGCCACACTTATAACAGGTGCCCTTGGTGGCTGAATTTTGCTGTTCAGTGCTGAGGTTATAAAGGGTGGCCTCAGAATCGAAGCTTGCTGTGAAAGTCCAAGGATGCTTTATGAATGGCCACAATTGTTTTTATTAATATCACATTGCTTTATTAATAGCCACAATTAAGAAAGGTATGGAGTTTCACTTTGAAAAACCCCACCTTACTCATTCATCCCAGTGAAAGTTTTGTTGATATTTGGAGAACAATTTGCAGTTTTAAAATGTTCTAATTTAATTTGAACTTTTATTTAAGATTAGTAATTGGGGATATTTTTATTAGTAAAATGGTTAGAAGTTTTTTTGGGGGGGCTGTTATTGTTTTATTTAGACAAGGTCTTGTAGTTCAGACTGAAATTGAATTGAAACAATTCTCCCATTTCCATTTCCCAAGTGTTGAGGTGGCTTATGAACCACTACCACACCCCATTCTTTAAATGCTGCTTTCATTCTAGGGGAAAAGATTTTTTTCCCTTTTCTTTTCCAAAGGGTTTTTTTTTTTTTCCTTTTTTTCTGAGAGGGTCTCACTAAGGCTGACCTCAAAATTTCCACCCCCCTGCTTCAGTCTCTGCAGGTTAGGGATCACTGGTGTGTGTGTCACCCCACTTCACCGTTCTCATGTGCACTCACGTATCTGTTAATGGCCTATGGATCCATTTTAAAATCTCAAAGATTTCTTGGATCTCTAGGAGAAGGATCCCAAGTCAATACCATTGTCTGAAGATTGAAATTATAAATCAAGTCATAGCACTTAATTTGATATTAAATTTTAATATTTTTGTAAAAATAAGCTGAAATCAAATACTTTATTCTGTTAACAGAGAAATACAAGGCTTTTTCAAATAACTATGGGTAAGGACCCCAGAACTAACAACACTTGAGTTTCCAGCTTTCCCTGTTCATCTTAAGAGAACTTGAAAAACAGTCTGTTTTGAAATGTGCAAAGCAGACTAGGGGAGGGGAAAAGACAATTAAGAAATAAAAAAATGGAAATGAGCAGAAACCAGTATTAAGCATACGTCTTTATGAATAAGACTTAATCACACACGTCATTTTGCAAATACAAAAGGGCCTTTTCAAATGCACTAATTGAAGTTAAGCACTATAGACAGGCGCTTTGTAGGGCGGCCACCCTCTCCCGATTTGCTTTGCATCTACAAGGCCAAAATAATTGGGTAAACAGAGGCGGAAACTGCCGACCCACCGAGCGAAAACCAGCAAGCATCTCGGGCTTCGGGCTAAGGCTCCGACTAGGGACAGTGGCAGGATTCTGGGTTGCGGTCCGACTTTGCGAACGACTAGTCCAGCGGCCGGGTACTCACCGGTAACCCGGCTTCCTCCAGAAGTTTCCGAACTGGCGCAGAGGGGTTTGGTTGGCTCTGAATCTAGATGGGAGGCCTTGGCTGACCCTCCAGGGTCAAGTAGTCCCGTGCAAGTTGTGAGGACCTGTATTCCACCAGTCCCCTTGGAACATGCAGAACGAAATGACGTCCATCCCAGCCCACAGGAGGCAGGCGCTGGAGATCCGGGCATATTTAGGGATGAGTTCACAGACTTTGAGGCCAAAGTCGGTTTCCTGAGCCTTTGAGCAGGAAAGAACGTTAAGAGAACAAGCTCAGACTTGTAAAATGCTGCAAATCTCAGCTCCTGGATTCTTCCTACGTCTGCCCTCATGTCCTTTGCAAAGGACTGCGGGGGCATCTCGCTCAGCGGCCGGTCCGGAGTCTTGGAGCTGTTAGAGGTCCCCGGTGAGGGGCCACACCCGTTCTGCGGAGCAAGACCCTGCAGGTTGGCTTAGAAGGGATTGGGGCAGAGGACGATCCTTAGTGCTAGGAAGTGGTCAAATGATGCTCTGTGCCTGAGCTCCAGAGCCTTGGGCAGAGTCACCTGTCAGAAGTGGGACCAGTCACTACCTGTTCCCTCCCAGTGGCTTTCTTTTGGCGCACGGCTGGTAATTTTTGTCGTTCTCACCTCTAGAGCGCTGACAACGCCCAGCGGACGCCGGAGAGCTCTGTGGATGCGGCGGGGTCTTGAGTACAGTCTCTGACTCTGCCAGGACCGACTTCGCGTTCTACACCCAACAGTTCTGCAAGCAGGGTCGGTCCGGGGGCCGGCTGCCTTCTCCCCATCGGGTCCCGCCAGTGAGGACAGTGGATAGTCTAAATAGGCGGCTGCGGAGGGGCTCAGCACCGTCAGGGCTTCTCGCCGCAGTGCTTGCAAAGTGCCGAGGGCGATCCGGAGAAGGCGGCACACTTGTCTGGGCAGGGCCCGAGCGCCGCGCCCGCCGAGAACGGGTAGACTGCTGCCTGGCCGAAGGGGGTCAGTGGCGTGGCGGCCACAGGCGCAGCGAGGCCGTGGCCTTGGTTGAGGTAGGCCACTAGCCGCCGCATCTCCTCCAGGGCCTGAGCCTGCATGAGGATGTAGTTCTTGGCCAGCAGCAGCGTGGCGATCTTGGAGAGCTTGCGCACCGACGGGCTGTGCGCATAAGGGATGACTGCGCGCAGTCCGTCCAGCGCGTCGTTCAGGTCGTGCATTCGCCGCCGTTCGCGTGCGTTGATGCTCAGCCGTAGCGAGCGCTGCTCCCGGGGCCGCCGCCGTGCATCCACCGAGACCCCGGGCCCTCGCCGCCGCCGCCGCCTCTCGAAGGTGTCGTCCTCGTCGCCGCTCTGTTCCCCACTGCTCTCGACCGTCGCGGCAGGGACGCGGGAAGCAGGCGCCGCGGGGAGGTCGCCACCTGGACTGGATGCACCAAAGCCTCGTGTAGTTTCTGGTCCGCGCGCCGCTGCGTAGGCGTGGCCGGTCGCGGTGTAGCCGTGGCTCAGTGCCAGGTACGTGTCCCCAGACAGCGACTTGAGCTCCGCCATGACCCTCTGGAGCCTACTATCTCAGTGCAGCTTTCTGCCCTGCGGGCGCGTCCGGCTGCCCGGCCGTCTGTCGGTCCCTGGGCCTCCGCGTGGCCTCTCCGGCCGCCACCCCTTCTGCACCTCCTCGCCAAGGCGCATGGCCGGCCGGGGCCGCTCTAGCTCCTGCTCGTCCGGGCTTCGTTTTTTAAGCTGCGGAGGTGCCCGCTGGGACTTCGCGTCCTCCAATCAGAGGGGACCAGCTGCCCCACTCCGCTCCACTCGCTATGCAGACCTACAAGCCGGGAGATGGGAACCGCGGGACCCGGGAGCGCCTTGCCTGCTTCTTGGTGCCACAACTGCCATCTCACCCACAGGAGCCAGCCAAGCGGGAGTTCTCAGCGGGGATCTCCTTCGGGCACTAGATGATCAGAGGTCTGGCCCTACGAGTTGAGTTATCACCTTCCCAAAGGCATCTAGTCCCTTACCCAAGTCTGTCGCTTCACCACCAAGTGCGTCCCAGTGTGGCTCCTGTGGTCTCAAGTTTTGGTTTGAGGTGAGGACCGGTGTTTAGGATGAAACACCTTTTGCTTAGGACGGACAGCCTTGACTTCTCAGGTGAAAGATCCCCAGTCTTGTCCTAGTGGAAGAATAGGATGGATTTTCTCAGTTTTGTCTGGGGAGAGGAGGAGCTAGATTTTGAGGGCAGATTCCAGAGATCGCTGGAGAAGGGAAGTGTCTAGACTCCTTGTTGATGTGCGACTGGGGCCTCAGTCTCAGCTCAGACCCCTCCCCACGCAACAGGTAACCTAGATTTGAGTGTTTCATGTGCCCCAACTGGTCCAGAATGTCTGCTTCTAAAACTGTCGCCCCTACTCAGGAGCAGGGACTGTGCAGGAAACTGGTTCATCTTTCCTCTAGGGGTGGGAGCCTTGGAGCCAAAGTCTCTGCCCTGGTACTGGAGGCTCAGTCTGTCTGAAGCTGGGAAGGGCAGAGCAAGTGGAGTTTCTGATACTACACGAGGTAGGAGACTGGCACCCAAGGTTCCCTTTCTACCTGCAGAACATGAGTAGCTGCTGGTTGGCCTTCCTCCAAGTTTGTTAACTAAAGCCCCAAATGTGAAGGTTGCTGAGGGACTTAGTTCTTTGCCCAGAGCCTCTCAAGGTGTGAGTGAACCTGCCAGGACTCTGTGGTTTCAGCAAGAGGTGGATTTTCTTCACTAAGGTGAGAGATGGAGTCACTTTGGCTTCCAGCATAAGGCAGAATCACTCATAAGGTCATGCTGTGTGACCTCGGCAGAGTCAGTTAATCTTTCTGTTCTGAGTTTCACCGGGAAGAGAAGATGATTCAATTGCTGAACACTCTCCAAGAATGCATAGATGCCTGAAGCACATTTGTGAAGTGAATGGGTGAGAGCCATGTTTTCTGGAAGATTCTGGGGGCACTATAGCATTACCAGTATGCTAGAACACAGATGAGCCAGGCATGGTGGCCCACGCCTTTAATCCCAGCACTCAGGAGGCAGAGGCAGGCGGATCTCTGAGTCTGAGGCCAGTCTGGTCTATAAAGATAGTTCCAGGACAGCCAGGGCTGTTAGAGAAATCCTGTCTTGATCCTCCTCCCCGCAAAAGAACACAGATATAAATATGTGGATACATGCTTAAGGAACATTAGGCTTTGCTCTGGGCCTGGAAAAGAAAGGCCAGACAACAGCCTCTTGACTGCTCTGAACGGGCTCACCATGGGGCCAGCTATGTGGCAGAGGGCAGGCATCACCTAGAAGGACATCCTGGCCCAAAGGGTGAGGTGTCTCTGTGAGGCCTTTTCCAAGTGCCTGCCCCTGGACTGATGGCAGGTGTGGGTGGGAGTTGGTGGAGAATCCAGTGTGGTTGAGCCCAGATCTGAAAGTGAGGCATGGGTTAGGCCCAGGGGCTGGGATGTGGGGCACATCAGGCAATCAGAAAGGGCAAGGCCCACAAGATGAGCCGCAGAGGCCATTGGGATCCAGAGATGGAGAGGCATGCAGCTGCTGCAGCACCACCGCTGATGCTGTCCGGAGGAGTCTTCTTGGAAGACAGGAAGGTTAACCTTCAGGGAGACATCCTGGACAGTATTTTTAAGACCACTCCCATGGCCACAGCTGCATAGGCGGGAAGGAGAAGGGGCACCTTTGCTTGTCTGCTGCAGTCCAGTAAAGCTGTCCAGGGCTTGACCAAAGCAGTGTGGGAGGCCGGGGAGCGTGCACTGTTTGGTTGGGGTCCAGATCTCAGCCTGCGTATAGAGCATGGCCTCCGTGGACCTGTTGAATGTGAGGCCCCTGGGTGATGTTGAGTGGACATTGTGAGGACGTGGAAATGTTATGTGGGGATGTCAGCAGGATGCACTAGAGTCTAGGCCACAGCCATGGATGAGGTGGGTCTTCAAGTGTTGCCCAGGGTAAGGCTTTAACATTGCCATTGCCAGGGAGATTGCATTAAAGAATGACCTGAATCTGTGATGGGATGGACAACAGACATGTCGTCCAGTTAGATGGTTAGTGTTCATGGCCTGCTTGACAGAACTACAATCACCCGGGAGATGGAACTTTGGGTGTTCTGTGGGGGTTGATGGTGGCAGTAGAAGTGGGAAGGCAGGTACATTCCCTGGCTGTATAAAATGACAGTGGTGCCGGGCGGTGGTGGCGCACGCCTTTAATCTCAGCACTCGGGAGGCAGAGCCAGGAGGATCTCTGTGAGTTTGAGGCCAGCCTGGGCTACCAAGTGAGTTCCAGCAAAGGCGCAAAGCTACACAGAGAAACCCTGTCTCGAAAAACCAAAAAAAATAAAATAAAATAAAATAAAATAAAATGACAGTGGTGTCAGCATGCATCACTTACTTTCTTACTCTGTCTGGATAGGATGTGATCATCTGCTTCAAGCTCCGTCACCTTGATTTCCTCACTATGATGGACTGGACTTTAACTGTGAATGAAAACAAATCTGTCTTCCCTTCAGTTGCTTCTGTCAGGGCATCTGTCACAGCAACAGCAGAGAAACAGAGACATCCAATTAATCAAGAACATTCAATATCACCTATCACCAGCGCTGAAGGACTTGGGCTGGGGAAAATTAGGGGACAGGATAGTAGCCAGGTTCCTAACAGGCAAGATTACTGGGCACGGTGGCACATCTTTAATCCCAGCACTTGGGAGGCAGGGGCAGGTGGATCACTGAGTTTGAGTCCAGCTTGGCTTCCATAGTGAGTTCCAGGACAGCTAGAGATACATAAGAGACCCTGTCTCAAACAAAACAAGAGCCAACTTGTAATAGGCGGCATACAAGGAGAGGTAGGGTTTTGCTGTGCCACACTGCCACCTGCTGGATGATAGGGAGATTGCATAAGCAACTTCTCAGACCCTTACCAGATTGATTGTTTCACAGGCTCCTCCGTGTGGGAAGGAGAGAAACTCCAACTTTACCATCACCCCCATCCAAATGTTCCTCTGCTGGAGCTGGTGCTGGAGGCATCCCAGGGCTGAGTAGGATCATGGCCCAGAAGGCCGAGCTCCTACTGCCTTTTATCCACCACATCAGGGAGGGCTTGGGAGTCTGCACCAATTAAGGTGCTATTTGTTTCCATTCCCACATCTGTACAATGTGGGTCATCTCCGTAACGCGCATAGTCTTAGGATAGTCTGTGAGACTGGAAGTAGGACTGCCCCATTCTTGCTCAGAGTTGGCATGGTTTGGCTGTTCTTTGATGCTAAAATGGACCTGGGATTTTGGATGAGACTCTGTCCCCATCCACTAGTGTGGATGTCAGATGATGGGATGTAGCCTGCTCTAGGGTACTTCAGTCATCTCATATGAGGGAACCTTCTGACTCATGCAGCTTTTCCAGGTCCTGGGTGGCACTAGTCCATGCCCTCTCCCTTGGGGACTGTCTTAATCAGTGATCTATTGCTGGGAAGAGACACCATGACCACAGCAACTCTTATAAAACAAAGCATTTTATGAGGGCTGGCTTACAGTTTTAGAAGTTTAATCTGTTATCAGCATAATGGCACAGCACACAAGGCAGACACCGTGCTGGAAAAAGGAACCAAGAGTTCTACATCTGGATCAGCAGGGAGCAGGAAGAGACAGCAACACTGGGCCTAATTTGGGCTTTTGAAACTTCAAATCCCACCCACAGCAACACACTTCCTCCAACAAGGCCACACCTCCTAATCCTTCCCAAGTAGTGCCATTCCCTGATGACTAAGCATTCAAATGTATGAGCCTATGGGGCCATTCTTAGTCAAACCACTACAGGGACCATAGAAAAAGTCTTGCCCTTCTGTCCTGATTTTTGCCAAGGTTCCTGTTAGAAGTTCCACAAAGGACACCCTCCCATCTGTGCACCAGCTTAAATATGTTTTTAGGATTGGCAAGATGGCTTGGTAAGCCTAATAACCAGAGTTCAATCTCCAGAACCCACGTGAGAGAAAACTGATTCATGAAAGTTGTCATCTGACCTCCATACAGGCGTTGTGGCACACACACACACACACACACACACACACACACACACACACACACACTCACACATACAAATGTAATAAATAAAATTAAATTTAAGATATATTTTAAACAATAGTTTATCAAGACATAATTTGAAAAGTGTATCTAGAGCATACAGTTCAAAGACATACAGTCTGTGTATTCTATGACACACAGCTATCACCCTAACCAACCTCAGGACATCCTCTACTTCATCCTACCAGATTCCTCCATCCCTTGATGATGCTCTCATCCCTCCCAGACAGGGTCCTCTGTGCTAGCTTGTGGAGTTCTGCTCTGCACTGCTTAGCTGAGGGTTGTGATCTACAGTGATTTCCCCAGCCAGCATGATGAGAGAGGAGGCACAGGTTCTGCTTTAGTCCTGATGTAGTTACTTTGTCATCATACCTACACAGTTTTTTTTTTATTTAAAATGTTTAAGCACTCCTCTTTACCTAAAGATAGAATCCTTACTCCAACAGTCAAGGTCCCTCATGTCCCTACCTACCAGGCAGAAGTAGATAGACTATGTTGACATCCATTACGGCTTCTGGTATCCTGTCAGGACCCGAAGGCTGGCCAGTGCGACGCCTAACTGCTAATAGTCCTCCATTTGTTTATTATAAAAAGGTGAGGAGTTAGAAAGGGTAGCAGGCGAGGAGGGGATGAGAGCACCGTGTTCTCGAGACTGCTTCCTGCTGGCCTGGGGGGGTGCTGATCATCTTTGGGGGCCCTGAAAAAATTAGGGTTCTGGCCATATCCTGGGGTCGCTGGCGGTTTCACTTCACTGTCTGGGCCCTGTTGTATGATGTGATTCCTTCCCACCATTTTTAAATATACGACAACACGAGTGTATGTGGGTTTTCTTCCTTAATCGTTTCTAGTTTAATCACCTTATGACCAGTGGATGCGGCTCTCAGGATGGTAATTTCATTGGATGGGGTTGAGACTTCCTTTCTTCCAATATGTGGTTAATCTTGGAAAATGTGCTTTGTGTTTAAGCCACAAAGAATGTGTGTATGTTGGAGAACAGCCATTCACATCCAATCAAGATATTCCATTCAATTCCTAAATCCACTTCCACCTCTTTTAAGATAGGGTCTTACTTTGTTGTCTAGACTGGCTAAGAATTCATGATATACCTGCCTCAGCCTTCTGAGTGCTGGGACTGTAGACATGTGCTACCATACCCAACATAGTTCATATTTTTTGTTTTGTTTTGTTTTGTTTTTTGAGACAGGGTTTTCTGCGTAGCCTTGGCTGTCCTGGAACTTGTTTTCTAGACCAGGCTGGCCTCAAACTCATCTGCCTACCTCTGTCTTCCAAGTGCTAAGATTAAAGTCATGCACCACCAATGCCAGACTAGTTCATTTTTTAAAATGTATTTATTTACTAGATTCTGAGAGAGCTATGATTAAAGTCTTATTATGTAACTGAAATAAAACACATACAACCCAGGATGGAGAGATGGCTCAGTGGTTAAGAGCTGCTTTTCCAGAGGACCCAGGTTCAATTCTCAGCACCCACGTGACAGCTTACAGCTGTCTGTAACTCCGGTTCCAGAGGATCCGATACCCTCACACAGACATACATGCAGGCAAAACACCAATGCATATAAACTAAAAAATAAAAATAAATAAGTCATTAAAAAACCACATACACCAGGCGGTGGTGGCACTCAGGAGGCAGAGGCAGGTGGATTTCTGTGAGTTCGAGGCCAGCCTGGTCTACAAAGCAAGTTCCAGGACAGCCAGGGCTGCACAGAGAAGAAACTCTGACTCAAAAAACAACAGAAGCTCCAGGGCTGAAGCTGCAAGATGAGTGTTCTCGCATCTCTTCTGGTTCTGACCATATGTGCTTTGATCTTTCTCGAATCCCTCCTCTCATCCTTCATGATTCCCTTATCTGTGATTCACCCACAGTACTATTTTCTCTCCTCAGGTGAATTTGCCATTAAAGGTCTTATTAAATCTGTAACTTGTATTCAGTGCTAGAACCATTCATTTGGAGGTCTCTCCTGAAGTCCTCAATCTTGTCTTCTCCCTCAAACATGGAGCAAGCAGACCTCTGCAGACCTCTGGCCTGCAGTTCATCTGCACCATTTCCCCGAACAACTGGAGTTTCCATTGTGTACTGACTGTTGTAGTTCTGAAAACCGTTTTGCAGATATCACTCAAAGTCTGTTTGCGTTCTTCTAGGGAGGAATTGGATTAGCCGCAGAGGATGTAGGCACAGGAATCCTGGGCCTTTGCAGTGTATCATTGTCAAATAATAACTTCTACTCACTCTCACTTCCAGAGTATACTTACTCATGGTCCAAACTCAAAATGAAGAGTTTGCTGGCCCTGCTCTTTTTTTTTTTTTTTTGAGACAGGGTTTCTCTGTGTAGCTTTGCACCTTTCCTGGAACTCACTTTGTAGACCAGGCTGGCCTTGAACTCATAGAGATCCGCCTGCCTCTGCCTCCTGAGTGCTGGGATTAAAGGCGTGCGCCACCACTGCCCGGCCGCTGGCCCTGCTCTTAAGGGGCCTAAAATCTATCCCTGTGGTGAGTGCCACCTCTTCCCTGAGCTCTGTGAGGTGTGAGTCCTCCAGGGCATTCCACTTATCTCTGGGCTTTCCTGAACAGAGGTGCCTCCCAGCTGTGCACTGCTGCCCAGTAGAAAGGCAAATGGGATCCCATTGCTCCTCTGTACCTAGCAATGGGTGACGGTTTTTAGCCCTTGACATGAGTGTGCCTCTGGGTCTTTTTGCTTTGAGAATAGATGGGCCCAGGGTAGCTCTTCTCACATGACATTTCCAGGCCCAGTTTACAAACCCTGGGAGCATATTCCCTTCCACATGTGTCTCCAGCTTGCCCAGTAGCCTCGTCCTGGCCCGTCTTCCCAGCCTTCTCATCTCACTGGCCTCTGGTGCTTTTGAAACCCCAGGGCTCTGGGATTTTCCTTCCACACCATCCAGTCCTTGTTCCAGCCTTAGCTCCTGTTGTATGTGTGAGCCGCCTCTACGCTTCTTCCCATCCTGTGACAAGGCAGGTGTTTTCAACTCCAGTACAAGCTGATTCTTCAGCAGGAGGTCAGGACTTGCCCAGCTGGTTCTCCTGTGGTTTTCTTCACAAATGATAAGGGCATCCTGTTAAAACAGACCAGGCCTGATCCCTTGTGTGCCTTGGGGCAAGGCCCTTGCCCACTGCTGTCTGGTGGGCAGGGTGGTAGCTCCTGTATGGCTGTCTCTTCCCCAGCCCTAGCCACCCTACATGGCCCTGCTCCAAGCAAAC